TGTGTTGACAAAATACATGGCTCGAAAAATTGTACATACTTTTTGCCTAGTAATGATGCAAGGATGATGGACATGATCCTTGGTGTCAAGGATGGATGGGCCGTAGAAGCGCTGTAACATCACTGTATTTCTACTACGGAAATGCTGGGTGGGGTTTCGTATGGTTCTGGAGGTTGCTCTCCATTTTTCCTTGAGCGTAGGAGTCCGATAGAATGTTTGAGAAACACGTTGCGCTGGCGAATATCGGATATTGAGATCATACCCCGAGTGAAGTAGTGAGGCGGTGACTTTATTTCGGGGACGAGTTACATGCACCAAGTTGCAGTGCTGTTAAAAATACATTTGTGGCTTTTTATAGGGAGAATATTTGCCAGGCGAAAACCCACCACGTCCTGGAACACTACCAGTTGTACAGAATTGATTGAGACTTGCTGTAAAATACAGTATTCGGTGTACATTATATACTGAATACTGAGGCAATGAGGCTGGACCTTACCGTGGTGCGATAGTTTGCGTGCTTCAGAGATCCATTGAACTATGCTGGGTAGTGCTTTCGCACTTTCAGAACCACTCATACCAGATGGCTCAATGGTAAGGGGCCAGACGAACTCAGTTTCCTGGTCCTCCAGGTTGGTGGTTGGAATGAGGGTGGCTCCTTATTCCTTAAAACGGTCTCCTTGTAGCCCACCGCCAAACCCGCTCTCTTGCGGTCACGTGTTTAAAACAAAGGCTTTGGTTGAGATCCTTAAGCGTTCTCAAGTCTAGGTTTGGACAACTTGAGAGTATTTTGCCCATCCAATACGAGGCACTTTTCTTCATACAGTTTCCTGATGCTCTGGCCGTCGCAACGGATAATAAATGGAGCCCTACTTGCTACATCGAGCTGGATAGATAGGGTTTGGATGCTCCTGTTAAAGCCTTCCCGTTTTCGTATTCACCCTCTTACGCTTTTTCACCCTTATCGTTCAGTTCCAACTTTTTTATCCTCTCAGTTTTCAACTCTTAATTCTCGACCCCCCACCTTGCTTTGGTGGGTGCTTAGCTTCTAGTTTCCATTAAACTGCAAACGCGGAGCGTCACTGTTGTCCTGCCCACAAGCCCATGTCTAACCAAGCGGTCCACTCCAGTTCATCTGCTTCCATTTGGAGCTCTCAATACTCCTTTAGTTTGGTATGCCTCAGTGTTCGAACATTATCACAGAGTGGCTAACAGGTAGCAATTGCCCGAACATTAGAGACCCTCTGGATCTATATCGGCTGATTATCAAAGATCCGCCTGCAAGACTTTATGCACACTCTGCGATCCGCTTCAGATCACACCAACAGTATTTTTTCATTGTGAAATTCCTGTGACGATGCAGCATCGCGCACCTATCAAGCCGGCCTTTGTATTCCCTTGAGTCGCCGGCCTGAAGCTGCTCTATTTGATTGAATACCAAGCAGTAGCCGGATGTGTGCGGTCCGGTTGGCTGGCTCCTTCAAAGAATTCAAGTCGCGCGGAACTAATAGGTGTCTATTAAGCATCGCTGCCTGCTAGCCCAAAAATTAGCGATTATTCGGTGAAGAAACAACTTCTTACGTCAACTGAGCGACTTCCTTTGCCACAGAAGAAGCACGGACACTGTTGTGCTGACGAGAGATCTGAATGCAAGACTTGGAAAGTTGTCGATTGAGGAACTGCATCTGGGCGGTCAAACACGGTGTAGGCTCTCGTAATGATAACGAGGGGCGGTTACTTCATTTGTGTGAAGCTACCAGCATATTTCTTGCGAGCGCTAACTTCCGACACAGTTCCTGCCGGAAGGTGACATGGTTCCCACCAGCCTCGAATCACTCTTGGACGCAAATCGATCAAATTGCACTCTGTTACCGCTGGAGAGGTTGCATCCTGAACTGTCGCTCGATTTGGAGCACATGTGTGGACACCGATCATGCACTTGTATGTGCTGACCTGCGGATGCGTTTTGGCGGACGCCCACTAAGACGCTGTGAACACATTGACACCAGACAACTGACAATGCCAACTGTTCTGAATGCGTAGCGCATTACGCTAACATGCCAACTGTGTAAGCGCTCACTGGAGACAATTGATGGTCACTGGTCAGATGTTCGCCAGACCTTACTAGCAGCAGGCAAGTCTTCATGTGGTAAGTCTAATAGCAAACATGAACATTGGGTCTCTTCGCGGTCTCTGGAACTTGTCGACGCTCGCCGGCGTATTCCGGCTGGAAGCGAACACAATGAATCTCGCAAAGAGCTCCGGGCAAAACTCCGTGCCAGCCTGAAGAGAGACCGCGAATCTTAGTGGTCTCTTCGTGCGTCAGGGATGGAAGTGGCCGCTGCCCTTGGTGACCATCGTAAGTTATTCCGTCTGATTAGGGAAACGGGCAGTAGGAGACTTGGTGTTACTAAAATAATTCGTGACAAGAGTGGACAGTCTATCCACAATTTGTCAAAAGGTTTGGAGCGTTAACCTGGGCATTTGGAAAAGCAATTTAACCGGCCGGAATCGTTTGATTATTCACTGGCCAGTGATCGCTCTGCTCCTTGGACTTTCCTTTTGAATCCGTCATCTCGCGCGAAATTCAAACTTGAGATTGCACTGTTGAAGTTGAACAAAGCCGCGGGACCAGGTGACACTCATCTAGCCATCTACAAATTTGGGGTCCCTGCTCTTGTTGATGATTCACACGAAATATTATTGAAACTGTGGGAGAAGGAAACTGTCCCAACCGACTGCAGCCGCTCCGTTATGGTTCCCATCTGCAAAGGCGGCTCGCGTTTGGAATGCAGCAACCATAGAGGAATCAGTCTGGTCCCTATCGTTTCCAAATTACTTACCTCTGTAATGCTTCACAGACTGACTGGCGTTCGTGAAAATCATATTCGTGAGGAATAAGCCGCGTTACGTCGGGGTGGTGGCTGCATCGAGCACGTCTTCACTTTGCGTCAATAGTTGGCACACCGTCACACATATTAACGGCCCATCGTAGTGGTGTTCCTTGACAGCAAAGATGCCTTCGATTTGGTTTATCGATGTGCTCTTTGGGGTTGTCTACTCAGAAAAGGTGAACCTGCGAAATATGTAAATATTATCCGAGCATTTTACGCGCGTAACACGTGCAGAGTGACGGCGTACGGCAAGCTGTAGCTGCCCTTCAATATCTTCAGCGATGTGAGAGAAGAATGCCCGTTGTTACCTTTCATCTTCAACTTCGCTATTGACGATGTCATGCAGATCGCATATACAGGACACGAGTTAGAAGGTGTAGAGCTACTACCATAAGAACGACTTCTTGACTTGGACTATGCAGACGATATTGCCCTTATCTGTGACAGCTTCCAGACGTGCCAAGCTGCACTGGAATGGTTAGCACTGGTTGTCAGCCGCTTCAGGCTTTGTTTTGCACCATCGAATTACAAAGCTTTCCCCCAAGGTTGGCAGGGTACGCCACTTGCGCTGACCCTTGGTGATGATCACTTAGAAGTCGGTCAATAGTTTGATCACCTGGGAAGTTGTTTCATCGCCCTTGGGGTCGAAAAGGTGATCACAACCTTATGGCAAATGCTTGAGGTGCTTTTGCTAGTCTTCGCCACCTTTGGCGGTGGGGCGACATCACTCACGCCCTGAAAAGTATAGGGTACAATGCAGCGTTACGTTCGAGCTTACTGTACGGTTGTGAAAGTTGACCCATTAGAGCTGCTGGCATAAAGAGGCTAGTAACGTTCGACAATCGGTGCCTTTGCTGTTTGGCGCACATCTGGTGTGAACACAGCGTAAGTAACAAACTTTTTCTACGCCTTGTTTACGGCACAGGAAAAGGAACTGAGCCGCACAGCAGTCATTTCACGCACCAGGCTCCAATGACTCGGCCACGTTTAGCGCATGCTAGCCCACCGACATCAGCGACATGGGTTGTTTGCTCGCCCGGGGGTGTGGATGGAACAAGAGCAGAGGTGGCGAAGCGATGATTTGGTCGAGAGGAATGAAGGTCCTCACTTCGGAACTGGCCTCGGTTGGAGCGTCACGGCTTCCTGGTTGGGGTCCAAAAGACGAAGAACACCTTTGGCTAGCTACATTTGCTGACCGAGCTAGGAGTGCACCTCAGTAGTGCTCCTACTGTGATTTCCTTTGTCTCTCCTTCTCCTTTTTGCCACCAACTCCAACCACGACCTCAGTTCGTAGCGTAAGATAATTTTTTATAATAATTGCTTATTATCTACTAGCTGGCTGGTAGCTTTCTGGAACAATGCCCATCCGCTGCTGGTATCTCAGCTGCTATGCAACTGTTGTATTTATTATTTTGTGTGCATCGCGGCACAGAATATGTGTTGTTTTACAGGAGCTAATGTATATAATGATGCCGATTCAGTTATATATCAGCATGCTAGTGGATGAGGACTGTCACACTATACTGCAGCTAGCTCCGTGTTCACGATAAGTACAGCTCAGCTCCGTATCCCTGTATTGCCGTTTCTAATCCAAATATAAAAATTATTAATAATATGTCCTCAAAAGAAAAACTTGCGTCTGGATGTTTAGTCGTTTTCTGTCGAAAACGAAACTGGCGGATCCTTTTAGCATTCAACGCTATCGTATTATTTCACTTTACCCTAATAATGTGGTTAGCTTTTACATGTTATTAACTGATATCTTCCAAGCTGTGCCTAGACAGTTTAATTCGTTTTGCCGTGCCACATAACAAACTGAATAATGGAAATCCTGCTGTATACTCTACGCTTGAAGCATGTAGATGGCACTAGAATCTTGACTAGCTGCTGATAAAATAATTCAGGCTTTTTGGTAATTTGGAACGCTATTTGTTTGGAAGCATTTCAAAATGGGAGTAATTTATTGTTACTGCATAACAAGAACAACTGTGGTATTCATGTTCTGTGTGTATTGTTTAGTTCCTTTATTGGGAAATATTTAGCAAACACGGAATACTCGTCCTAACCAATAGCTGATTATTGCTTGAAAAGTCACAACTGTCAACTAACCGCTTGTATATGACGCCTTGAACAAATCACCAGGTTGTGCAGTTGATGATCCGGCAACAAGCATTAATGTATTTGTAGTAGATAGGTACTCCAAAGTTACAGCCTCGTTGCCGTTGCTGGTTACGTAAAGCCCTTCATCGGCAGCGCATGTGCTTCCATCCAAAATGCGTATCCAAGAATCTGGGTAAAGGAACTAGGAGAAAAGAAGTACGTAGATATTGAGGTTTAAAATGACTTTTAAGGATTAATAAATGTGGCATAAGAGAATCTTGGTTAAGTAAACAAAGTCCGTAGACCACTTTAGCTGAAATAGTAGCTGGATGCTTATGTGTCTTAGCAAACTTGTCCCCTTCTAAAGGCCGTACTTCCTTTGTGATTTACTTAATCAAAACCTCAAGCGAACCATACCGAAAATAAACTACTCGCAGTGTACCTGTCCAATTGACTTCTTGACATTAATTTCGATATGTGTAGACAAAATTACAGCAAAATGCAAGAGCGTATTGTATCTTCTAGTGGCATGGCTATCCCACTGATTGATCGGCACCGGCTGGCTCCGAAGCTAATCGTCGCCACAATTGAGATTCCGTGTAGCACTCCAAGATACACGCCAGATACCCGAAACCTGACAAGAAATTTTGAACTGCTGTGTCAAGCTCAGCTCGCGTAGTCGATCCTGGCGACTCCCGCAATCACCATTTGCGGAATTACACCCATCTCGAGTTATCTCTACCCGATGAGTTCAAACCCGGACAAAGCTGTCGGTTGTGGATTGCAGGCGTGGAAACGGGCAGCACCAAAATGACCTAAGTTCGTGCGAAGGTCAGTAAGATCAATGGGGTCGGATAAAAAATTAAGATGACCGATCAGTTATGATTAAATTCGTCACGCATTGTACAGTCCATGTGCCTAGACACATTTTTCTTTAGCACTACATATGGTGATTATATGTATGTTTGCTTGAGTAACCCTTTGTTTTGTAATAAGCGCATATATATATTTATTTGGATGTCAGAGTAAAAGTGGGCGAAACCTTTAGAACTAAATCTGTAATCTTATCTGCTTTACTATATCAATAATCACTTGTGACCAACTTTCAGGCATACATAATGCGACTGAAAAGTTTATACGTGTTCGTGAGTATTGTTTTACGTAAGGCGAATTCGGTACTTGAAGGAAAACTTGTTAAAACCTCTGGTGAGATTGTAACAGTGAACAGTACTAATTAATTCATGGTTCACCGCAGCTGGTTCCCGATCCGATAGTAGTCCACAGGCCCGAAAAGCACTGGACTGCAGGTTCAGTCGATTGTGCATCGTCAGTAGTGTAAATCAATCGGATCCCTCAGAATTCGAACACGTGGCACAGTGGTGTAAGCTGCTGACTGGCGATGCAAGTCACTGGTGGTAACGGGTTCGATTCCTTATGGATCAGATGGATGCGCATTACTGATCATGCTCAACAGGCTGAACTTGCAGTTTAGTGCTTTTCCAGGTATGTGGACGAGTATCTGATTTAGAACTGGGTGCGATTAACCCTCCAATACCAGGTTCAAAAGCGCCTACTTCTGACTAAAGCAGAAAAGAAATCAAGTTCTTCCTTTAGCTGTTGTTGTTTACCAAGTTTGTTTTCCGATTGCTTTATGCTCCGTATAGAAAAAAAGGCGTTTTACTCTGCAACAATCTTCACTTTTTGTTCATTACAGAGATAATTTGAAATTTCATTAGTTTTACTATACACGCACTTTCCATTCGCGTTCGTTAGGTAATACTTTCTGCAGGTAAACCAATTAATAGAAGTTTTACGTATTATCCGGTATTCTCTAACAACGCTAAAAAGTACTTAAAATTATGGTATGTTAGGGAAGGTCTATTAGTGAAGGTAGAATAAAATATTACTGCGGTTGAGGCAGATTTTCAGTCTATGTGTTTGACAAGTTATGCCGTGTGTAATAACCGCAACTTTACGTTAGTTTATATTCAGAGGTTGCTTACACTGGGAAAATGTATTCTATTCCGCTTGTAGATTGATTTTAATTACAGTCCAAAATGAACTCAGTAGGAAAACGAGTGGTTATGTGCTACAGTCAAGAAGCAATATGATTAGATGTCTAAACGGTGCCATATCTAGTGATGCGCTTCTGTTATCTGTCCTCAAGAAGCGGAACTCGTTAGATGCAACTAAGTTACAAATCAAAGAAGTCCTCACATAGGTTATTCAAACTTCAGTACTCCGCGAATGCTCGTGTTTTGCCAACATGGGGCTAGATTATTCATGGCTACAGACATCGCCTATGACCAATGTGCAACGCGCTAATTAATGTGCACTCCATCAAGAGACCCACGGTGTGTTATTTAACCATAAAAGCCAATGACTGTCCCTCTGGCTCTTGTTTTCCATCCCTAAGCAGACCACCTTAGTATTAAAGTGTGCTTTGAATTGTATGATGTTGTTACAGCTTTCGACCTATATGTTACAAAATAATTCTTCCCATTAAAATTCAACAACACAGCCACCACAATTACAAAGGATCGCTAGACCGCCGATTTGCCCTAAAAGTACACGTCATAAGCTCGCGCCATCTGCATTCCACCGGAGTCGAACCGATGAAGTTACTTTATCGAGTCAGGGAGTTGTGTTACCAAGCTATGCGTGCTGTGACTGATATGTAACTGTGACACAGCGCAGCTCATCTTCCATTGTTATGCGTGTTATTAGCAGCAGACAGGCTGGTCCTCAAAGTTACCACTTTCTTTGCAAGACGCCACCAGTCGAGCTGGCGTGTAGACTACCTAGGCGATTACAAATTATGAGAGAGCAGTAGGTGATTAATTGTGTTTTGTTAAAATGCTCTCGTTCCTTATGGAGCCCCAATGTGGTTTCAGAAGTATTCCAAGCTTTCTGTGCTTTTGAGAGAGCTGGGACTCTAAAGCACACTATGACCGAAGGGGTTAGCTTCAGCAATGATAATTATCCGCGGCGGAAAACTAATTCTATGGTCATTTATCATTTCGAGTGCGCCTGTGGCGCTACTTACATCGGTCGAACTGCACGGCACTTGTCAAAGCGCATTAATGAGCACCTTCCACGCTGGTTGCGTCGAGGCGGTATCGGGGCTATAACTAGCTCTATTATGGCTCATCTAGTTGATAGTGGCACGAAGTCGATCCAGTCCGCGCCTTTCGAATACTCTACAAGGTTCCGCCACTCCAATCGAAAGACCTGCGTCTCCGTACCCTCGCTACAGCTGAGACGATCAGTATTCGGTTGTATCAACCGCTTTTGTGTTCACAAAGGAAACTCATCGAAGCTCTCAAGTTATCCTGACCAGAAAAAGTGGACGATTCGGAGGCCGAAAGGAATCATTTGACTACATCTTTGCCCTAGTGTGCGCATATCGTTTTCGTTTATTGCTGGTTTATGCCGCGGTTGGCGCGTGATCCAATTTCATTTGAACTGATCGAAACCACTGTTACTTCCGTTGCTCTTTACCCATATGATTGTAAAGGTCTGACGAGGAATTCATCGAAAACAATTGTTTACCTTCGGTCACTTGTTCTTGATGACTAAATGGGAATTTTCCAGTTACTCATATAAGATCCGCTGGCTGACACTCAAAGCTCTTTAATGCCAAGTTCACATATATTTTGCCTCATCAAACAATGTGACGGAGATAAATACAGAGAGTTGATAGTTTTAAACTAGTTCGAGTTCCCTTTTCCCAGCTATTATTGACGATGCATAAAGCTGATATTTCCTATGGGCCATAAACAAATAGTAAAATAAACCGAAATTGATTAGTAAAGAAAGCACATAGGACAGAGAAAGCTACTTCAAAAATATGGCTGCTGTGTTTCTAGCCATTCTGAATATTCAGAAGGCAGCAAACTTTGAGCAGCTAGTTAAATCCCTTGGGGAATATACCTTGAAATGCGTCGATGTTCACCTTGAAGAACCCAAGTGCTTACTCAAAAAGGCAGGGCGAGTCTTATCACTCGGATATACTGAGTTTTGCACTATGTCAGCAACGGCAAAAATGAGATGAGGCCTACTTCAAGAAAAGGAGTTACAATACTCCGCTGAACCAGTAAAATTCACTTTTCTGAAGAATTTTTGCTTTTTACTTCTCAAATTTATGTATTTTTATGGAATTGCATCAATTTTTGTCTTACATCACTACTGGATTAAAAGTTTAGTGTAGGAAGTTTTATCATTTGACTTACAACATGGATTATTGTAAGCTGTTGACAACATTAACGAAAATAACTTTCCGTTTTTTGTACATGGGTGATTAGAACACATAAAACAATCCATGTTACATAGAGTAATCATCCGGCCGTCATTTCGAACTGCATGATCGGGATTAGTATTTTACTCAGAATACCGTGACAGAGTAACAGCGGATGTCTAACTTTCGTTTGTCCTCAGGCTGCCATAGTACCCATAGAAGTACAAGAAATTCGGACAATAATCGTGGTAATATGTACCCTATATTATCTAGTCACGTCTACGTAGTTGGTTCGCCACTGTCATGCAGATACTAGTATGCTCTCTTTCAAATCAGTTACATCAAGGGTGGGCTTCAAATCGTTACCTCGCACGTTGTTACAGTTTACTATACCGCTATATAACGCTGCCCAAAATGGATCAAATAGTGCCTACTTACGACGGCGGAGCCCGTTGCGATCAGAGTAATGCAAACGGAGCTGTGCAAACATAGGACACTAGTGCAGACACCGCGTTAGCCCTGGCCATGATCTCACAGGGAGCGCTACCTTATGTTTGCATGAAAACCAGCTGTTTGTGGCGGTTTGTTGTCTACACAAAGTGCAGACGGCTTGACCTTGAATGTTTGCTTAGGACATTAAGGTATTCAGGTAAGTCCCCCTTCTCTCCATCTTATTATTCTTTATTACATAGGTCATCGTAGTTGTATGGCAACGAAGCATCAGTTTAAATAGCTGAAGTACTGCTGTTAATGTTGTTGATGCTGCATAAGGTGCTCTCAGGCGGTTACCGCGTGACTACATGCGTCACTAATTGCTTCGATAGGAGAATGCAAAACAACAAATAAAACATCTTGAATAGATTGTGTCAACCCTAACCCAGTATCTTAGCCGGTCGCAATTTTGACCATTTTATCTATCAGTCTGAAAACAATTACCGAAAATAATTTCTTCGTTGATTTGAATAGTCACGTTCTCAAGAGCATATTTCAGGAGAAAATACCTTCCACTTGGGAACAAAAACTGATAATAAGACATTTTGCCCAAACCATGTTACGGACATTGATGAGACTATAAAAACGACATTGAGATTGCGCACTGCAATCCAGTTGCACAGCGAGTACTTCAATATGAGTTTACAATCGGTTATTATCCGTTTTGAAATGAAGTACCCAGTGTGAGTTGCTGGTCTAATATTAGGGTTTTGGTGCATATCCAAAGAGCTCAGGTTTGATTTCCTGCTGTCTACTTAATGAGATTAACAACTTGGAGTAGAGCATTTTCCTGTCGCTCACAACCAAGTTAGATAAGACAAACTCTCCTTCTTCCCAATAGGTGTGTACTTGTGTCACCTTATAGGAGGTCGTCTGTCCTCTCGTACTCCTTTAAATTTTGACAAACCATTTCATTGAGACGTTTGAGTAGTTCAACTGGATAAAATGAATTCGTAATCCGTCAACAAAATCAATTTTCAAATAAAGGGAGATTCTGTGGCAAATGCAAATACGGGAATATCATGTAGATTGAGAAAAATGACATGACCAGAACATACTTTACAAAACTTGTAGATCCTTATGTACATAATGTATGGTAAGATTGTGTAACCAGTAACTGAATATATATGTGTATATTTCCAGTACGTGATTTAATACTGACTCGGGCAAGCAAAAATCCTAAGCTTTTTAAAACAAACCGTCCTCATTTTTGTACTTTAGTTTTACAACTGGTATGACGTAGAAATTTGATCAAGGATTCCAATGTGGTTAAAGCAATATCCCTCAAATAAAATTCGCGGCATTTGCCTGGCTCACCACAGCCTCAACATTCAAAAGATTCCCTACTGGGTAGCCAGTTTACTTGATCACCAGCAACGAACATTAGCGGGCATTTTGAAATGTCCGGTGCGCTCATCATATATTCGTGGGAAATCTGAATGAATTCCAGCGCACAATAGACATATGCGTAGGAAAAACTTACCAACAATGTTATCCAGTTCTATTTTTCAACCATAATGGAAATGTTTATTCCTACACGATATGGCAAATTTGACTAGATACCTGCTGTGGTTGAACGACGCAACTAAAGAAGTTGAAGCTAATTCACTTACCAACCAGCTTGTAACCCGCATATTCACTTTGTTGCCATGATCGACTGTTATTCGCCAGATGCAAAAAAGTTTGCTTTTTCCATCTCTTATTTGTGATATGATACCACTGCTTCCTTTGACATCGGAACCGCACTGCTCTGAAACAAGAAAGTCAGATGCATTTCATGCCAAGTTAAGTACTTTTGTGCACGATTTATCCTGTGTGTTTATCAATTGGTAGCTACAAGTTGGAGAAAAACAGCATACAGATCAATTCAGTGTGAGCTGTAGATAGGGTTTAGAGCAGTGGCCTAGAGAGGCCATTTACCGCCCAGCACGGTAGTAAAATGTTCAGCCCATTTGACGGTTGCATATTTGTAAACCCTCAAAATTGGCTCAAGATGAAATGCACTTTGGCCTTCTATGAAATGGTTGATCGTTTGGGAAGTGAAGTAAATCAGGTGAAGAGGATCACAACGAAATAAATAATGAGATTGATTAGAAGAACTAGTACTCAAACAGTTTTCTAATACACTAGAAATATCTACAGAATAAATTAACTGAACTTTGACTTTGTGCAGTAACTATAGATCTTACACTCCATGTACAACGCATTATCTTCAATCCGACGCATATGCCGCATCTCCAGCTGTCAGTGGATGTTGTAACTTTGTGTGTACCAGACGGAAATTAGGTGTTACCCACCCGAAAACACTGCACAACCACGACGTGTTTCGATGTAATTTCATCTCATCAGACGGAGACAGAAAGCTTACTATTTCAATGGTCGCGGGGTCGAGATCTGCAGTCTCCACCTGATGAGATGAAATTACATCGAAACGCGTCGTGGTTGTGCAGTGTTTTCGGGTGGGCAACACCCAATTTCCATCTGGTACACAGAAAATTATGACATCCACGGACAGCTGGAAATGTGGCGTATGCATCGGATTGAAGATAATACGCTGTACATGGAGTGTAAGACCTATAGTTACGGCACAAAGTAAAAGTTCCGTTAGTTTATTATGTAGGTATTTCTAGTGCATTAGAAAACTGTTTGAGTACAAGTTCCACCTTTTTGGCGAGGTGGTAATAATGGAATAAACTTTACACCAATTTTTCCACTTTCTCCGACGCTTTCACCTGTGAATTGGCTGTCGCTTATGCTGGAAGATTCTCGTATTCAGAACTGAGCATTTTCTTGCGGAAATCTTGTAGATTCTGAAAGGTTACGTTTTCGGCCTATAAAATGAATCAATTTCTATTTGCTTCTGGACATCACTAGTTAGCCATTTTTCTAGCTCATGCTGGAAGATTTTCACATCTTAAAGGATATCTAGGGCCACCATCGGACCGGCACTCACCCATACTGAAATATTCTTGCATTTTGATCGGAGGCTTTGCTTACAAAACCTCTGTTCCATGTTCTTTATGACGCTGGAAAACACATAACTTGTGAACCAAGAACTTACTAACCGACAGATTTGAGCCATTTGCAGAGCATTTATTTCATATAATTTGCTTGTAACATTGTAGATACAGACCTTCCTTTGGTCGAAAAATTGAATGAAGCTACTTAGGTGAACAAATTTCAGGGTTTATCTTCTTTCACATCTTCTAACTGCGTCCTTAGACATATTGATAATACCATTGCCTTATGTCAGTTTGATCTTAAGCTTCAGTTCTCGCAACTATTATTCACCTTCGTGCTGCTTGGCCGACAATTTTCATTTCCTTCTCCCTGTTGAAACATCTACACACATTTGGTCATGACTGTTTTTGGACTCCTCAAATCACGGCACTTTTCTTTCTCTTGAAATCATCCTGCTTGCTAGATGTGGTCGTTATCCCCCACTCGCCATGTAACGAAAGAGTAGATATGCGCCTGCAATTTTTGAAAATATGTGTCGTTTCGCTTGCATTGGGTAACATTTAAAATCTTTATTTTCTCCCGTCTCTAATGATTAGCCACAAAGGAGCCCCAGAAAAGTGAATCCGGGATAAGTGACCAATTCATCGCGACTCAATAGAGGCCAGGTTGTCCTAGATTTTGATTAAGAATGGAGTGAATATATCATTAATTCACTGGAGTTGATAGATAACTACCAACATGTTTTCGCGAAAAACGATAGCGCGCAACGTACTAGCTGCATTTAGTTTACTATCTATCAGACGCTAATGATTCCGGATATGGAACAATAATTACTTTTTCTTATCAAGCCGCCATACTTCGGTTCTATTCATTGCTAATCTACTAGAAAATATACATTATAAATAGAGCTAACTACTAAACACGCATTGTCACTACGTACAAAAAGTGTTTCATAACAAAAATCATATTGTATCTGGTGATTATACCGTCACATTTTAAGTCTAATAAACAATAAAATACCATTAAGTAAAACAGGAAAGAACCTACTTTGAGTATATCTATTGGTGATTCTCTCCTTTGCGTTCACACTGGTACTTATGAAAAGGGCGGTTAGCACGTTTCCTTTGGTTAGGTAGGGTGCACTGTCTCCGTCGAATATAATGGTACTCCTTTCAGCCATACAATCCGGACCATCAAACATCACCAAATAATTGGCAACTTCTTTTCCGGTAGCCTGCAACTAAGTTAAAATATACTTAAAGCAATTATTAGCAATTCATTTTTTCTGGATAATACCTTGCGTTCTGCCGCTCTTTGTTGTTTCTACTATGTATTATGTGGCCCGTCTCCATTAGCAGATGTAAAATGATTCCAAAAAAATTCCTATGTAAATCTATTAATTTGCCGGATGGTAAGTAACTAGGTTGTTGATTGAAAATATACTGCTACGTTTTACTTTTTAAGTTGAGAAATTACTGCGTAAACGAAATTATAATTATGTCTCCCATTGCAGTTGCACGGCTCATAATTTATAATAACAATTACAACCATGAATTCATGTTATCACGAAAGCTGGTTTATATTCCATAAATTAAGCGCACATGTAATAGAGTATGTGGTTGCATGATTTGTCGAAAGTGTTATTTTTGGCTGCACGAAATACGCCAAGACACGCAATAAAATCACTGAGCTATTTGACTTAAGTCTTTGATTTAGTCAGGTTAACTTTTGTCCATCCTCCATGTTCGTAAATAATTTATTCGACCCTATGCAATTTCTATCGTGGCAAATTTAGTTACATGAGCAAAAACAAAGACAAACTGTTTAGGGTCAATGCAAGATGTCCAGCGACCTTGGATGCTGCAACATCATGAAATTTTATATACCTGAATTCTCCAATCCCAGTCTCAGATGCGTTAGAAACAAGAGGTATAGTTTTACGGGGTCTGATGAATAGAATCATTGAAGTAGGTAAGGTGGGGTTGAAAGTTAAACAAATCCGTGGTTTTTGAAAGAGAACCGTGAGTATGTTTCTACTTAAATGCATGACAGATGTTGACGAAGACAGTGTGAACTTAATATTATCATTTTTTGGTGTACGGAGAATATTAAAGCTAAATGCGAGTGCAGATTTGGACCAGGTAACGAAGTATATACCCGCGATGACTGTATTTAAAAGACGCAAGTATCACGGGGAAAATAGTCTCGAGTATCGAATTTTCAATTGGTTACTTGGATTCATCAGAGACTCCGGATAATTAGGGTGTTGATACTTCAAGCTCGCGCAACAAATCCTGCCACAGCCAGGGTGCAGCGTTAACCAACTTTTGCATTTCGCTGAACAAACATGATAAGCAATACAGCTTCGTAAATTCTCGGAAGCAGACTATTATTATTGCTGAAGCGTTGTAGAATTCCAATGTAACCACACAGAAATTATAAAGCCCACTACTAGCTATTGCACTGTGAGTGAACGTCAAAATGCCCCGGTGGTGTGCAGATACACATTGCGCGTTACATGTGTAAGAGACACACAAGAAAATATATATGGTGTGATTTTATTGCCCTCTGAGGAACTCCTAGACGTTGATGTGTTTTGTTGTGTTTTCTTTGACTACTTTTGTACATAATTTTGAGTTCCATGGTTTGGGATCGCTCGATGTCTATTCATAGATTATTGCAAAATATATATATATACCAGTCCACAGTTCCAATGCTTGAAATGCATGCCGTGAGTAGGTAAAAACACGCATCGCACGTAGTTAAAGCTCAGAAGCAAATAAAAGCAAAAAAATGAAAGTAGAAGCTCAGATTTATCCACGAGCATTGCGAAAATCAAATATTAGGGAACAAGAAAAAAGGGGCACAAAGAATTAAAAAAACCGGACCGCATAAACGCGCAGAAACATAGCGCTTAAACTTCATATTAAAAATCTGTGGGCACCATATGCAGTAAAGAAAATAAACGGTCAATCTCGGTAAAGGAGATTGCCTGGGGAACATAATTAACTTTAACGGCAATGGAATTGCGCTGAGGGGCATACAAGATGAGTCCTTTTCTCAATTAATTCAACCCTTGTGTGTGCCGCTAACTTGGGCAGGTATGTAGGTGAGCGTGTATAACATGGCGCCTTCAGCCAGTAGGACCTCAGACGCAAATACGTCATTGGGGTGCAAGTGGGATGCTTCAGATACTACCACGTACAGTATCGGTGGCCGACGTACCATGTGGGCTTGTGTTTCTCTGTCCAAAGAAGCCATGCCCATCAATTAGAACAAGGTTAGGGATTTGAACGACGATTGTGTTGGCATAACGAGTCACAGCAGAATACGTTTGCCGTGTGATTTTGAACGTGCAGTTCACCTAAACGCAATGGTTGGCTTGTATGTTCGGCACTTGATGGAGGTGAAGAATGCCATATAGAAAATGTACGAGAAAGAAGAGGACGGGAAATAGATCGCTTGCACAATGAAGGTTAACGCGAAAACTTGACGAGACTGTATTCGGAGGTACGAGTCGACGGAACCGGTGGAGCAGCACGGGGGAGTCCGCCGCAAAACTCTAGGAGAAAACCACGTCGACTCTCTGGTGGAGTGTGTTTCTGCGAAGCCTACCATTATCCATGATCTCCTGCGTTTGTAACTGAAGGCGCAGCACTGTCTCACGATACTTGGCTGGGAGACTGATAAAAATGAAGTAACTGCATACCATTCCGGAATTCATGAACACGCTGGAGAACAAAATGCGACACAGGTCGTTCGATTTGCAGCTAATGGATTACGAGGTAGATGGCAACCGGTGTGGTTTGATGAGACCACGTTCAACTTATTCGTCTCCCACACTGGTGGCCGCTCACGAAGTGGTAGTCAAACACAGTGTATGGAGGCGAACCGTCGGGGGCCGAATGTTTAGCTTGGCGGCGCCAGGACCAACACCGGCTTGCTGGCGTGTTCGGTTCTGAGAAGAAGTTACAACAAGCAAAGTTGAGCTCAGCGGCTGCGACAAGTGTTTACTACCAACGGAGTCGGGATTCTGGATACGCTGCTTGAGATTTGTGACGACGCGTTCTGTCGCACTCACCTAAAGCACGTTTTGCTGGAGGTACCGTACCGCTCGGGGTGACTTCTACACCTAACGCCATACTCTCACACGCGCAATGCCATTGAGGAAATCTAGAGCAAAATAAAGCTTTCAGTAAAGTAAACAATGTGGAGACGGTACTCTGAGATGCTCCTGGGGGATACAGAAGGCCTTCAGAATAAAAGTGGGTGGCGGTTTCCCTTTTTGGAGCACGCGGTGTCGGGAGCACGGGATTTAGTGACGCAGCAGCACTGCGGACAAATGATTCAGTATGCCAGTAAGAATTATGGACGTGTTTTTCATTTGACCGATCTGTAAAACACTAAGTTGACACTAAACTGTATGTTTTAAAGACGTCTTTCTTACTTTATTACGATGATGGGTTAGACTGCCTTTTATACGCTGCTACAAAGAGCCACTTCTCTATCTGGGGAACCATGGTGGATTTCCGGTAAGATAGTGCGTGTGGTCGAGTCACATTCCCGTTTTAGTTGCCGCGTTGTAGAAAATTCATATGATAGCTTGACCAAAAGTGCCATTCACACGGTTGTGTGGCAAGCAAGTATGTTCCACCGCCTGTCGTTGTTTGTGTTTGCACTGGATAAGGACTTTGATAAGAGCATAAAATACAGGAAGATTGAACTGTGCAGACTTGACGGACATTGATAGTGTGTGTGGCAGTTAGCCGGATTGCTCAACCCGATCCATCAACGCACGCGGCTTGACGGTACTTGATTCTCGTGCATCAATAATCAATACGAAAACGCAGAGCATTTAAGGAAAGCAAAACTATCGTTTATCACGCTCCCTAGGGAAATATTTCCGGATGGATATTTCTCAGTTTTGGACTGTATGCAAACACGTCACAGGGTTGCGGTGAATAGGTACTTTGAAGTTGTAAATAAAATATACTTGCTTCGGTAAATCACATTATTTGTAGGTTGTAGCCTCTGCACAGGAATTAGTGACTCCGCATGACGCAAACCGGTCACTGCCTTCATTAGCCATTTGTAAGTGAAAGTTGCAACTTCGCTCCATCCTATTTCTACGTAGTAAATGATGTGACTAAAGTCGGACATCTGTTGCCATCATATCTCGTGCGTGTTATCGTCATCCATTTACACACCACAGACTCCGTCCTCCATCGCCAGTCGTGATTACACCGTGCAACTAACCACGAGATGCCAATCAGACGCAGTCTCCATCCACCTCCGACACCTATTAGGTTGTGGTTATGAAACTGTCCAACTGCCTACCAAGTATCTGTTTCGTCTTTCAGCCCCCTGAATCTTTGACGACCCAATGTACCCCCGGATACGGAAGCCCTGGGTACTCTCATCTTAACGCATACTACACTAGGCGAGCGATTCGTCAAAACGTAGTTCCAGTGTTGTTCGCGCAAAAATGAGCGGTTACTTTACGTCATTTGTCGCTATCGGTTAACATTTTCGCATGGTTTACTGGCACATCCAATCGGGCGCTTTTCTTCAGGAACTTCATGTGCATAGTTGGTAACTTGGTGATGCAGTTTCGGTGTATGCGATTTGTTTTTTAGTGCACGTACAGATGAGTAGTTCTCAAGCCACTGATCACATGTACTGTTGGATTTAAACACAGATGGACAGATATGCTTTCGAGAGCCGTTGTGGTGTAGTATCAAGCTACAGCAAATCGCTGTTAGATTGCTAGATTTCATTTGTGGGTACATCAAAGATATCAATATATTTGCGCTTAGGACACTGAAGCTGATCGGACTTTTGTGATCTGAATACTTTTTAATGCAGTTAAGCAACTATACTATTACTTTAACAGTATGTTATACTTTCAGCGGATAGCGATTAGAAAACGCCTGTATCTTGCATGGTGTCAGCCGTTGGAAAAGGAGTCATGTAGCTTTAAGCTTGATCACCTTAGTCTGTACCTCTGACAGTTTACCAATCATCTCGGAAACCATGAAGACTGTTTCGACACTACATTGCTTCGCACACCTGGGTGAATTCATCTTCTGGATACGACTTGCTTTGACATGGCGTGTTTGAATGAAACTTCTCAATAGTATATAGAGTTCTTGGGATCCGTCAGTGCAGGATACCTTTCGGTTGGGTTAAAGTTGCTGAAGTAAGTTAAGGTAATTGACACCCTGAACGTTTTCGGCCAAT